CTAGCCATAAAAGAAATGCAAATCAAAACATTAAGAATCCACCTCACCCCAATTAGAATGGCTATAACCAAGAAATCTAATAACAACAGATGCTGGAAGGGATGTAGACAGAAGGGAACCCTACTTCATTGTTGGTGGGAGTGTAAACTTTTTCAACCACTTTGGAAAGTAGAATGGAGGTTCCTCAAAACACTCCACATAGAGCTCCCCTATGACCCAGAAATCCCACTTTTGGGCATTTACCTGAATGATCACAAACAAGACCATAGTAAAGCTACCAGCACAACTATGTTTATTGCAGTATTATTTACCATAGCTAAGATATGGAACCAACTCAGATGCACCTCAGTAGTTGAACAGATCAAGAAAATGTGGTATATATACACAATGGAATTCTATTTTCCATCCGAAAGAATGGCATTACCCCATTTGTTAGGAAATGGAAAGACTTGGAAAAAATTGTATCAACTGAAGCAAGTCAGGCCCAAAGAAACATAAGTCCCATGGTTTCCCTTATTTACAATAACTAGTATATATCTGAGACAAGCAGAAAAGGTCAGATAAGATGATGTTAAGGGAAATGAACCCCAAGTAAGGACACAAGTGGTTTTTTTCTTTCTTGTTATTGTTTCTAACGATTTATAAGGTACTATGTGATTTTTTTTCTTGCTTTGTATGTCCCTCCCCCACAATATAACCTCTGTTTTCACTGTATTTGATGTTGATATAACTTGGGGAGCGGTAGGGAAAAAACAAATTGTTTAAATAGAGATACAGGTTGACCCATTGCAACAATGAGATATACAAGACACTATGTCAAAAAATAGAACTTTACAATTTTTGGGAGGGGGATGTAGTTGTGGAGACAAGAGGGAAAGGATGCTAGGGGAAAAGCAAAGGAGGAGGCAACAATGCTTGATAAGAAATGTATTCATTACCTTGTTCATGTGATAGTAACCCCTCTGTACAGTATTTTCACAATAAAAACTTATTTTTATAAAAAGAAAGACACTCATGATATAGGCTAAACCCATTATCTTAAAATTATGCTGCATTCTTAAGACTAAATGTAAAGTTAGGACTTTCTTGAGGAAAAAAGGAATTTGGCAGTGGAATTTCAGAGTGAAAGTTTTTACAAAGCTGAGCAAATTGTTAAAGTATAATTATGTATGGAAAATTTAAGGTCATTTTCTTCCCTAAGTGTCTTTGCAGAAATGGAGCCTCTGGCAACAGAAACAAGTAGAAAAATGGAGATGGGCCACTTGCTACACAGTGCTAAATTGAGACTGCTCATAATTTCTAATAACCGCCCCCCCAGCAATCAAGGTGACAGTGGTCTATCTTCTCAGCATTAACTTTTTAAATGCATTTTTTCTTTATATTTTTATCTTATTACTTGTTCAATTCTTGCCAGAAATTTGGATTTCTGAGTCTACAGTCTGAATAATATTAACCATCTCCTAGTCTCTTATATAAGGTATTCCACACAGTAAATTCTCCTTAATGCCTACTACAAGTGACATTCAGGAATGTCACAGAAACAGTGGCAATTTGCAAGAGGAAGTCTAGTAGCACTGACTGAGGATCATGAGATCAAATGAGAATTAAATTAGAGATGGGCAGAAGGACTTGGAGAGAATGAATACATCAAAATCAAGACAGACAACATTGCTCACAGCATTATTCTATATAAAAACCATAAATATCAAATGGGTATAAAATCTGCTTCCTTTTAAAAAAATCAGTAATATTTTGCTTAAGTGAATGACCTGGAACTTTCATGAATATTTTAGATGAATGATGCCATGTTGTTCCCATTCATTTAAAATCAGCAATCAAGGAAAGCAAAACACTACGGTACATGCCAAGTCAACATATCTTCCTCCAACTGTTCTAGCAGTGCTTCCAAAATAGAGCCAAGAAGCGGGAAGAATGCCTTTCTTTCATTAATCAAATTACTCCTCCCAAAGAAAGTGGAAAATGAAGTCCCTCAACCAGCCAACAATATTTATCTTTCAGATGATTGTCTTAGCTTATCCAATATTAGGGTGGGTGGTGATTGGATTGGGTGTTGGAATCACTGTATATCTTAGGAAACGAGTAGTTAGTCTTAATGGATTGAGAGGTGCCTAGGGCATTAGTAAAGTAGATCTGTGGGTAATATCCTAAGATATGTAAATAATGAGATATCTGACCTAATCAATGATCTAATCCACTGATGGATTTAAAATGGCAGGAGTCTAAACGTAACTATGGAACAAGGAGAGGAAGGTTAATGGAGAAATGTGCTAGAAGGGTGCAAGTTGACCCTGACCCCTCCTTGTATGCTTTTCCTTTCTGCTTCCTCTCTGCCATGAGGTGAGCAGCTCTGCTCAATCAGTTCACGCCTTCCTCCATGATGTTTGACCACACCACAGATAGGAAGCACGGAGCCATCTGACCATGGCCCAAGTCACTGACATCATGAACCAAAATGAACCATTTTTCCTTTGAATTGTTTCTCTCAGGTATTTGTCACTGTGATAAATAACCCTGCCCAAAAAATATATGGAATTATTTTCATATGAAAGGCCATGCCACTGGTTAAACAGAAAATATATAATACACTACTGTTGTAGTTATCATGGTAGTCAAGTATCATACTTGACCATCGTACTTTGAGACAAAGTGTTAGACATCTAGGAATTAGTCTATCAGATACTTTTCCTGATTGACTTGTAACAAACTATAATTTCCTCTATGCCTTAAGTAGTTTTCAACTGATTTTTGTGATAATAATGTCCTGTACTACTAAAGTACTGCTTAAAATATTCACTGCAGTTTTTTCACATGAGTAAAAATAAATCCTATTATTTAGTTATAAAATGATAATTTATAAATTACAGATCAAATAAGCAAATGCTAGACTTTCACTTCATAATTTGAAAATGAATATTAGATACTTTTAAAGTCAAGTGGGATCATTTTTCTGTGATACGTTAAAAATTTAACTAATATTCTTTTCACACAATAATTAAGTTAAAAAGGAATAGAAGTATGTTGGTCTTTGAAAGCCAATGTTACATATTATATGTACTTGAAGGTTTTAATTGCTTATAAAATCACCTACATTAATTCAAAAACAATATTGATTTCTTAGATGAAAGATTCTAACAAGAATAATTATATTTATAATAGCATTATGTCAGCAGATTCTAGGATGTATCTAATTTCTTTTTAACCTTTACTAAAAGAAAACACATTCATTTTTGAGAATTGAAGTCCTTATCAATATATTAAAAAAATAGCTTCTCCTGAAACTTTAAGATTCAATTAATGTCTTGCTCATGCTGTGACTGTTCTATAAATTTCGCCCTTTTAAGACAGAAACAGCAATAACATTAAAATTTGAAGCACAGAATTATGATCTCAATTTGCCAAATTATTTTCTTTTTCATATATAATATAACCAGGATACTGCTCAATATTTTACATTTGGTAGAGAAATGATATTTTAAAATGCCAATTATTTGTCTATCATTAAGCAAACAAGATATCCATCAGTAAAAATTAATGACCTTCAATGGAACTGGTAGACTTCTAAAATTTGTACATTAGCAGTATAGAAATACTGAGGGTTAGGGTTTCCATGCCAATCACATGAGAACACTACATTCCTCATAAGGAAAAGTAAAAACCAGGGAATAATAATGTTATAACAAAATACAAAAGCCAAGAAAGTCATCCCAAAATTGTGTATTTCTGTCTTCAAACCATGATGACTACTATATTTTGGTGTATCAGCCCAAAGTTGTAAGTTTTATTCACACTATTAAAGATACTTTTATTTCCAGTAATTCCTAATGGCATCCAACCATCCAAACATAAAATAGTTGATTTTTCACATTTTGGTTTAAAGGAAATCATTTAATCTTAAAAAAATACTTTGATTTAAAGTAAATCATTTAATTTTTAGCAAGACTCTTTCTTTGCAAAGTCTAACTTTCAAATTAGAGAATGTTACTAATTAATCACTTATATATTCTCATCTTTACTTAAAGACTTTTTAAAATATAATGTGTTATGGAAATGAACACAATAAAAAGAACATCATAAGCTGGGCATAATGGCTCATGCCTATAACCCTAGCTACTCAGGAGGCTGAGATCTGAGGATTGTGGTTGGAATCCAGCTTGGGCAGAAAAGTACCCATAAGACTCTTATCTCTAATTAACCACTCAAAATAACAGAGGTGGTGCTGTGGCCCAAAGTGGTAGAGTGCTAGCCTTAAGCACAAAGAAGGGTAAGAATAGTACCTAGACCTCCTGTTACAGCCCAGGTGAAAGAGAGAATGAAAGAGAGAAAAGAAGAGAGAAAGAAAGAGAAAGAGAGAAAGAAAGAAAGAGAACATTGCTGCTAATTTTTACTTGCTAATGGTAATATTATTATTGGTGAAGTAGCACTGCTAATAAAAATGTTACTACTAAGCCAGACTTAGTAGTGGCTCACACCTGCAATCCTAGCTACTTAGGAGGCTGAGATCTGAGGATCAGGGTTCAAAGCCAGCCGTGCAGGAAAGTCCATGAGACTCTTCAATTAACCACCAGAAGTGGCACTGTGGCTCAAGTGGTAAAGCACTCACCTTGAGCTGAAGAGCTTAGGGACAGAGCCCAGGCCCAGAGTTCAAGCTCCATGACCAACCAAAAAAAAAAAAAAAAAAGAAAAGAAAGAAAGAGAACAAAGAAAAGAAAAATGTAACAACTGAAGAAGGCTGGATGGCGCAGTCTATGTGAGTCTTATTATATAATAAAATGCCAGTATCACATGTATAAAGTAAATGATTATTCTACAAATCATTCTCAACATCTTCCTAAAGGAAGCAATAGGGTAAAAATGGAACAAAAAATAATGTTAAAGTCTTAAGCCAGTTTAGCTTAGCCATCTATGCATAAACAAGCTAGTCTGAACTGCTAACCTAACAACATTGGAAAGCAATTCCTTGTTGTGCATTAATTTTTTACCTTGAAAGGCAGTGGCTCTTCAGTGAGAGGACTGACCGGAAGGGATGCCATGCTGTTTGCTGGGCTCAGCTCTGCACTCTGCAAAGAAACAAAACGGCGTGAAGAACAAGCTAGCACCCATTTTTCTTCTTCCTAATTCAGAACCCAGGATTTCTTGTGAAAAATAAACGGAGCCAAATGGACATAGCAAAATTCAAATGGGGATGATTTATCCAGCCATTCCTGATATGGAAAGGAGTACTTAGCTGGGAAAGTAAATTAGCTGTTCCCAAATCCCTATTAAGGACAGTTCATTAAATGTAATGGCCATCTTTGGGGTTATGTTAATATGCAGCACTATCAGTGCTTCATTTATACTTTCTTGTTTATTTCTTTTGAGTATTCAACCATATGATTTATTTTGTCGTCATTACAAAGACTGGTAGGTGACTGTACATATGATAATAGGTAAGATAACATGAATTGCTGAATTTCACCATCAAATAATATGGCATAACAGACAAAGCTTTTTTACTAAGTAAGGTACTGCAGGTGTCTTCCATAAGAAATGAGTAAGTTTTTGCAGAAAAAGGAAAAAACTATCCTTCAAACTGCTTTTCTCAATGTGAGGTTTCTCATGGCCACTTAAACAGGTGACAGACCCAAGTATAACCTTGAGTCATTTGATATTTACCTATAGCATGACAGTCTGCCATTTATTGAAGTATCTTGTTCTTGCCAATAGTATGTTTAGGAGGCAGAGATAACATATAGTTGTGAACACTTAAAATCCTGCATCACATCTTTGCCGATGAAAGTTAATTGAACTCCCACAAGAAAATGAACTTACAATCAATCTTCATAGCAACCCTTTATAAAGGGGTGATATCTTCTATAGTTGTCAGAAACATAGAAAGCAAACTACAACTTGTGCCTCATGTAACACTGATTCTTTAAATGTCATTCTAAGCTAAAACGTTCTTCTGGCTGTAACTTTCAAATCCATCTTACAGTGTGACACTTTAATTCTATGGCTCTTAGGCAATCCAGATATAAATGTTTTTAAGAAAACAATTCAATCTTACATGACAGCATTTGATAAACTGCACTTAATTATCAAGCGGAGAAAAACATACCAAAAAATCAAATAAAAGTATCTTCATGTTTTATTTCATTTGCTTTTATGGTGATCTATAATTTAGATGTCATTCCAATATATTTATTCTTTTAAATAAAATTATAGTAAGCCCTTTGGATATAAGTCTCAAATTTAAGCCATTTTTCCCTTTTGTTCAAAGAACAATGGTGATAAAACTTGTTATCAAAAGACAAATGAATTTCTTTTTATGTACATTATTATTTGGATTTTTAAAACTGGCAATATATGTACTCAAAATTTTCTTTTTTTAAGACTTTTTATTAACTTACATATTATTCATATGCCAGAAGGTGATTTCATTGTTACATCTTATGTAAAAACATATTTATGTGAAAACATACTTATGTGAAAACTGAATCCCAAACAATCTCCCCCCGCTTTATCATTCTTACTGCCCTCTTTCCCCACCAAGAGAAAAAACCTAACAGATTTTTTACAGGTTTTTATCACCATGCGTAAGTTGCAGAAAGGTAAGTTTTACTGTGAAATTTCCATATATGCACATAATTTATCCAATTGAATTCTCCACGTCATTCTCTCTCTAACCTCCTCTACTGTTTTGTATTTCCCTTCCCCCTCCCAAAGTGATTTCAACAAGTTCCACTGTTCTAGTTCATCTATGCCAATAAACGACTTCTGTCTCCTTCATCCTCATTCACCTTCTGCGTGCCCTTCCTTGCTCCTGCTGGTAAGCAACTCCCCCAGCAGATCATGTTTTACGTCCACATCATTCATTTCTTTTTTAAGTCTGTGTTAACTTTACCAAAGGGTTTCAACCTGGTATTTCAGACATCCATATATTTTAATCAAAAATAAACTGGGAAGGTAAAACAGCAGATACCAAGGATAAGTAGGTATCAAGAAAGAAAGAAGCCTTGAGTTTTTGTGTGGAGGGAATTGAACAAGTAGGAAATGTGACTAGATTGGTCAAGTTCATTGAAGTAGGCCCAGTACAAAGAACGCCTCATCTGAGTTAGAGATTGAACTCAGATTGCTGATGCTCCTTTGACTTCCTGTTACGGCAGCAGGTAACAGGGCATGGGATAAACACTACGCACATTCAAATAAGTGAATGAAGTCTGTTTCCCCTTGAATCTCTTCATTTCTCACAAAGGAAGCTGTGTATTCATTGGTAAGCACCCTGGAGGTCAGAACTCCAGGCTTGTTGAATCCTTTCTTCTCAGTAGTCCCTTTCCTATTACTCAGTCCTGGAAACAACAGCAAGCTTGAAGGCATCTTGCCGGGAAAACTGTGGTTTTCCACTTAAATTCTAAATATAGGGAAGTCTAGCACGTACACAATACTTGCTGAATGATTGAATGAACACATAAAATTTTGTGTCTCAGAAAAAGAAAATGCTAAGAGAAATGGCTCAGCAGTATTAGAGAGATCAAAACAACCAATCCTATGTATCTTCTCAGTAGTAGCACTATTCATCTTTAGAGCAGAAGTACATTATAAAATGAATGTGCCTATTTCCTGTGAGCTTTTGGAACTTGAATTAGGATGAATGCATACAGGTCACCATTTAACTATTGTGTGGATTCAGGTAAGTGAAACTGTCCGCTCTGGGCAGCTATTTTCTGTCCTGTAAGATAATAATAATGTCTACTCTAATTGGTTATCATGGGGGCAGGACTTAATGAGGTAAAACTAGCAAAAACAGAGCTGACACACAAAATGTGCTGAGTGCTAGGTTTTAGTGATTAGCGATATCAGGATGAAATTGTTTCCATTACTGTCTGTGAAGACTGTAAGTGAACTTGAGAACAGATTATTGTGCTTTTTAGGTTTACAACACAGAATCTGCAATGATAATTCAATTACTGTCTGTTCTACAACTGAATTAGAGAATGTGGATATGAATAAGACCAATTGTGTATTTTAGAAAGCTTTTATTTTGGCACATTCAACTCAATGGGATTAAAGTAGTCTTCCCTTTGTAATGTCACAAAAATCAGTGATTTCTCATTAATTTTAATTAAAGCAAAATATCATATTAGAATATCCATCTTGTCTAATAAGTTCATTATAAATAAGAGGCTTTAAAAAATGATTGTCAAACATGGAATAGCTTGTCTGAGGCTAATCAGTTAATGTGGATGTAACTAAATTTAGCCACAAAATACAGGTGCATTTATCTCCAGAAATTATTCACCTTGACTAGAACCATAATTTATTTTCCCTTAAAATGAAATGAACATAGAAAATCAGTATGATGTTCATCCAACTTTAACATTCACTTCCTATAAGTTGACTGACTGTGTCTTTCATATTTGACATATATTCGTGATAAGGAACCTGTAGAGGTTGTAATATTTGAGGAATGTACTAATGGATTTTAATAGTGGAATATATTCATTTCAAGTAAAAACTTTGCATTTATAAACTATAATTCAAAATTTATGATTTAATGAATTTAAATAATGAAGAATTGATTTATTGATGTAAGTTACCTAGACCTTTTTCATGTCTATTTCTAAATAATAAACCTTAATATGAATATATGCACATATAATAGTACTTGCATTAATTATGATGGAAATCTAATGCTATAGTGTCAAGAAAATTCTTTTGAATTGCAAATATTATTTCTAGAATACTACACACACACACACACACACACACACACACACACACATATATTTGGTTGCATATCAGAAAATGGGAGAAACAAAGAGACAGGTAGGCATTTTATCTAATGGAGCTAATAAAAATCATGTGATGACAGACAAATCTCACAAGAGCTTATCCACAATCACAATGTCTTTACCTTTCCATGGTCAACTATGTAAACAAGAGTAGAAGAGTTGCATTCCTTACTCCTTTCAAGATCTAATATTCTCTGTAGCTCACCTAACTTCTGGGTCTTAACAAATGGCAGTACAAGAAATGCATAGCTAGACAATGCTGTGTCTCCATGCAGACAACCAGGTAGTGAGTGCATTTACACAAAAAAAGAAGGAGAAAGCATCACTTGGAGACAGCATTCTAGGGACCACTATGGTATATGTAGTCCATTGTTGACCCTACGTGAAGCTACCCAAAAAGCAAAGTAATAAAGAGCGCTTTTAAGATCTATTGCAAGTGGGTGCCTAGGTACTCATTAAGCTAAGATGTGAGGATAGTGGTTCAAAGTCAGCCCAAGCAAGAAAGTCCTTGGGATTCTAATGTCCAATTAACTACCCAAAGAGCCAGAAGTGGAGCTGTTGTTCAAAAGCACTAGCTTTGAGCCTAAAAGCTCAGGAACAGTTCCCAGTCTTTGAATTCAAGCCCCAAAACATTAAAAAAAAATCTATTGCAGCTCCAGTCTCTAGGATTCCCATGTGATGTCTGGCAAATTGAAAATGTGCAATAAAAATGAGGTGCTATTACCTAATTTCTACAGGCTAGTGATTGAGGTTATAGAGTAATTCTCTGAAATACTACATTGTATTAGATGCATTCAGAAAATTTCTTTAATTTCTCTTCACAGAATCCATAACTTATGCTAGGGCTTTCTAAAACTGTTGAAATAAGCAAGTTCGTATTATATTTATTCAAAGTGCTGTGTCTTTGGGTTAAATAATTTGTCTGTTCAGTGCCCTTAGAGTTCACCAAACTATATGAATAGAAAATTTTGCTTAGAACACATAAAAACATATTTTATCACCAGGTGCTGGCAGCCACCTGTAACCCAGCTACTGAGGAGGCTGAAATCTGAGCATCATGTTTTGAAGCCAGCCTGGGCAAGAAAGTTTTGAGACTCTTATATCCAATAAGCTACTAGAAACGCTGGAAGTGGAGTTGTGGCTCAAGTGGAGAGAGATAGTGTTGAGCAAAAGAAGCTCAGGGACAGTGCTCAGGCCCTGAGTTCAAATCCCAGCACTAACACACACACACACACACACACACACACACACACACACACACACATTTTTTTTTCTGATGCTGGCCTTCT